ATGCAAAGGTGGAATTGAAGAAGAGAACGGGAAAACGGGACTGCGGGAGTTCGTCGGCTTGTGCCGTACGCGGCATGTCGACTCGGCGTCCAATCGGTCACGGGGACCCACGTTTCATTGTCGATATGGGTTACTACCTACTACCTTTTCCAACACTTCCTGCTAACTTGACTCTCGATTGTCGGAATCCCTGGCAATTGCACGGATTTGCACTCATAAGATAGCAGGCGGCTTGTCAATGGCCCAATCCTGTACCGCTATCCAGTCAGGCAGTTCTTTGTCCCTTGGCTTATCTGAAATCCCGCACAGACATCGGAACAGCCTTACAGAACATCGGCTGTGGAGCTCCTCATATATAATCTTGCAAGGCCAATGACCCAACGATGTCCGAATTGTAAAAATTGTAAAAAATATCCGATTTAGGCTCTTGTACTGTATCTGTCAGTATAACCTGCCTCAACGAACGAATCATCCGGGCATGTCGCTCTCTTGAAGAAAATCTAGAAGAACAAGTCGTCGATCTCCAATTCGAGCCTTCTGAGCTTCGTGAAGTAAACGTTAGCTCCTTGCTCGTGTCCCTCAATGGGACCCCTTACTTCAAGCAGTATTTCTTATCCCATTATCAGCAGGCCTTCACATTGACCCCGATGATAGTGGCCTCGACAATTTCAGAGTATGGCCCGGAGTCGAAACCCTCAAGGGGGTGCTGGTGCAACCAATTGAGGATGTGCGAGGTATCTAATTGCATGCATCTATAGGTATACTTTCTGTGCAGAGTTGACGCACGGGATAACAAACCCACTCTATGACCATAGCCCTAAAAAGAACAGGTATTTATCTTTCCAGAATTATCTCGATACTTTCACTTCACATTCTTTTCTTCCAACATCCATATACGGCATCGCAGCCTTTCATTTTCATCGGCCTCGTCACGAGCACAATGGCAATCACATGGGAGAAGCGATTACAGCTTCTGAAATATGTGTTTCCCCACATCGAATACACGATAATTTTCAATGCCCATGGTGGTGAGTAACACCTATTCCGTGATGAATTTATCCGAGTTCAATGCGCGTCTGGAATCAGTCGTATACCCCACAGTTTGGTTATGTTATCCGCTCATTCCATGAATCTTTTTATACCGATTGACGAGTCGTGTTTGAGTTTTGTCATTATCCTCTGTGGAACTTGAGCACGCACTGGTTTTTCGAGATTTGAAATGAGCTCCTCTGCATTATATTAAGGTCTATAGCTTCTGAATGTCTTCGTGTATTCCTTTCCTGAGCCCATACTCAATTAATGTGCTTCTTGATATAGTCGATCTCTGGCGTATGTTGTCTTTTGTATGCAGAGTAGTGTTCTTGGGCGGGTTTTGTGCAGACTGATGTTCGATATAAAATGTCATGGTTTTGCTGACATTAAAGATTCAAGTTCGACCAGAGGATCCCTTTTGTATCAGGCACATTTTGCATTCGGCCTTCTTGCTCGGCTACCACCATTCATGCTAAAGTTTTCGCTGCTGCCACCCTCTGGAGTTAGTTATTAGTTATATTTTCTAGATCGACGCGACGAGCTGATTCGACGCAAAACTGCAAAAGGGAAAGAAAGGTAAGAACACGACATTAACCAAGAGAAGCCATGGCAGAGGAAGGCCTGCCAAGTTTAGCCAACAATACAGAGAGACTCCGTACTCTCGAGCTAGGTCACACGTTATTATATTATATTAAGGCAAATAGTTGTACGGAAGTCTCCAATAGTCCAGTGTTATTGATACCCATTTCCGGCTCAATGTTCGCGAAGCAACAGTGAGGAACCTTATTGATACCCCGATCCGGAAACTGCTGTCTGTCACCTTTCACCAAGACTCTATGGCCTTCAAATCCCATGCAAGTTTCTTTGAGCTCCAGTGACTGACAACTTGATTACAAGAAGCATGAGGGACATTTCTTTATTCATAGATGATGTCTTTCCCAGTTGTTAATGATGATATTTGATCAATCGAGTCCTCGCATCATACGAAGTCAGCCCAATACGTGCACTTCGAAGGTCTCTTCTTCTCTTTGACATCTTTATTGAAGGGCTGAAAATAATTCTTTAGTCACTCTTATGGCAGTGATTCTGTATGTTCCCCACTATAAATCAAAAGAGACATCGCCTCTATATTCCGTCTTCTTGTTCTCTTTGCTGCATATGTGGACAGAACTTCTTATTTCTTTACACTATTTTTCCTCTTTAATCGGAATTTCCGATGTCAATCTAAACAAAGAAAAATTCTTGACTCTGCTATGAAACTTCTTACACAGCTGGGGATCATTCTCACTATCGCTCTGGAAGCGGTTGCAGCTCCCACTGCCGAGCCTGGGGCTCGCAGGGGAGGCTGGTGTGACTTCGTTGGAGAGGCCTGCAACAAAATCAAACGTTCTGAAGATGGTGCGGATGTCTCGAAGTTCTAGCTGCGAGTGGATCATTCATGAGGATGTGGTTGGTCTTATAAACTACACTTTGCGTGTGTTTTCAACTTGCTGACTCGGCAATACAGATACGCTCCACCACCACGAGTCAATGATCATCTGCTTACGTCTCTTAAAAAGCCACGAGATGCCTCTACTGCATATTTCATTTCGTCCCTGATGAATGCTCCTGCATGGATAAGCCCCGTTACAAGTATTTTGGAAGGGCACCGATAACGAGTTTTACGGATTATGAAGGAAGATTGATACCCATGAAGACGATTCTACACCAATATTCCTTTTTTTTAATCTTCTTTGTATCTATTTCTTGAAGTGTATTTAATCCAGAATCAATTTTTCTGGTCTTGACTCTCATCCGGAGAGCATCACTTGAAAGTATGTCAATTCATATCCAGGGAAAATAACTCGTAAATATTCAGAAAGGCTTTCTCTTCGTTCAGGCCTTTGTTAATTTCTGTCCTTTAGGGAAATCAATCATTGAGTTCTCTCTCTTCGATTCCATCTTCCCTTTTCCAGAACAGTCCTCAATGGTTATGTCCTTTAGGTAATTAGACTCCAAAGCATTCGGCAGGCTGGCAATCAAGGCCGTCGATAGAGGACCTTACTTATCTAGAACTGTCCTATCTCCATATTAAAGCCTCGTTCATCAGAGGAACTATTATCTACCAACAGCTATCGGATCTTCGGATTCTTCTAAAAACGCTAGGGAATCTCTATTTGGCACGGCAATTAGCGTTCTCTTTATTTCAAAAATCCGAAAAACATCAGCGAAAAAAAAAAACTTAGTGATGGAGTAATAACAGCAGGTACAGTTATAAACAGGACTGGTCATACTCAGTCGAACCACGTAATCAATGAGGAGTCACCACACCACAGCCCCCAAACAGATTCATTTGCTCGAATACCCCGTATTGGTGCTCTATTGGTTCACTTCCTCCGTTCTCCCACCATCTCCTGCCGTTATATATAGGATCATTAGATAGCCTGTACGGTAAGCCAGTAGTGGGTTCGTCTGGTAGTCGTGAACCCGGGCACAGAGTCCCCGAAGACTTCTTTTCTGCAAATGTTGATGCAGAAATACCATCGTCACGGTATAATGTAGCTGCATATCCGGAGACTATATATGGTTCAGCCTCACTAGTGTCACATTCTATATTCTCATAGTGGTCTGCATCAGACATATCAAGATCACCGGCAACGGGTCGAGGGTCGCACTGGTCTTGATGGCTGTCAAGGAAGTCATCCCTCAACTCGAGCGACTTGTTTCCATAGTCTGCACGTCCCAGAGTTGGGGACAGTTTGACTCCAGGACTTTCAACTGCAGTTTGCGAAGCACCTTGCGGAAATTCCTCCCACCTTCGCATCGCTTGGGACTGGTGGACCCTCGCCTCCCTTTCATCGGCAACCCTTAGCTCGTTTGTGGACAAGAAAGTACGTCCATTGTGAAATACTTACCGTTCGCTGTCTCCAGATGTATCAGACTGGAGTGGTTGACTGCCGGTCTGACGATAATGCTGTGGTATACTGTGCGCAGCGGATGATGGAAATCGCGCCAAGTTATATGCTTTACCATCCCCAAAACGCTGGATTGAATTCTTGCCCTCGTACTCGGCAATCTTCTGTCTAGAAAAAAGAACAGCCAAATTGTCTTGCATTTTCACCCACGCCTCAGACGCCGACAAGCCGCACTATCATGTTTGGAGAGATCAGTTCACTCTCTATTCGCAACTGTAATTATATCTGGAACGGTCAAAGAAATAATGAATGGAAAATGGAGAAATAAATAAAGACATGGTGGGGGAAAAAAAGAAAGAAAGAAAGAAAACAAAGAACAAAGAACACTTATGATTCCTTTGTCCTTATGAAAGCCAAGCTTGCCAAACGCCCGGCGATATGCGGGCTCGAGAAAGCATAGAAAGAGTGATAAGGAACGACAATGGAACAAAGGAGGGACTACCTGATGACAGCATGGATCACCTGCCGAGGTGACTAGCGTGTCTATAACATGACTATCATATCCACAAGATGGACAGTGGTGTATTACAGACGAGGGCATGGTGTTGCTGTTTCAAATATCAGGGCACCGAATTGCGTTGGGATGTACAGAGAACTCAACAAGACTGTATATGCAACTCGATTATTTGAATGATGTGGTAATATTTTCGATCATGCGTGAGAAAATGCGGCAAATATACTCCGAGAAAAAAAAAAGGAGGCGAGCAGAAACGTTGGATTAACGGAGTGAAAAGAGGTAACAACTGCTTAAGAATTACTTTTGAATCTTTTAAATTGTTCGAAGAATTGAAAGAATCCTTTCCCTGAAAAGCTTCAAGACAGTGTCCCCTATCGACAGACAGATGTATGCCATTGCAAAAACAGATATAGAGATGTAAGAAGCTTTGTGTTTAGGTATACATTATTATATATAGCACGGAGAAGTTAGCTGCCCGATGCCGGCACGGATTGGGCCGCTGGGCACTGAGGGTACTAGGTGACGTGGAAAACAAGATAACACCCTCCAGAAGACGATCAATTTTAAATTATTGGTAGTTTAACACCGAGTGTCTCCAAACCTTCTCTGGTACCTAATCCACAGTTCTCAGCGGGTCGGGAGCTGCTTTAATGAATTTGAATAAGAACTCGACACAAGCGCGGACGATGACTTAGAAAACTTATATCCCATGCTGACCAAAAGATTCCCTCTTCATAGCACCTGTACCAAGCCATCTCAAATCTTTGGTACCACAACCATAAGAGGGGGTGACGGTGACGACAAATACTACCAACCTAGGAAGGAAATATGTGTACTGTACATATATACATACATACAAGGTCCCACTATGGCACGCAAAAGAAGTTAATCTACTTCGTCTACAGAGTATATATGTACTCGTGTAAAGAAAATTATTATCTTTTTTTTGAGAGACAAGCATTGACGAAATGGTGTAATCATACCACATCCATGAGATCTGCCCACTCATTAAGGGATTTATAAACTAGAAAAAGGGACTATAGAGTGATGAGAAATCATATATCAATAAGGGATATACTTTAATGAGACAAATATTAATAACAGATATAGCAAAGTTATAGCAAAGAATAGGTATGAAGCCCATGTGGAAAGGGGATAATAAAACTATATTCTATGTAAACCTCGGCCAAAGTCACTGGTATAGATAGAACAGGAATTCTCTCTTCAAAACCAGTCAAACAACATCAACTGGACACGCTAGGAAGTTTCACTGCCAGATGAATACAATGAAAATGAAACATCCAAGGCACAATGACATTCTTTCTTTACATTTTTCTGTACAAACCTGGAAAGAAAATTCAGGTTATTATTACCAGTTACATTGCATGGTGGGAGCGGTTTGCCCTTTTTGGGCGCGGCCCAGGCCGCCCAGATAATCGGCACGATAACACGTGACGAGACCCAGGCAGAACCCTGTGACGCGATGCTCCCAATAGCTCCAGAGCTCATCATCGCAGAACAAGCAGCTTCTAGGGCTGCCCATTCAAGCTCTCCTTGCCTCTCCCTTCCCATCCTATCATCTCCAGAGTAAAGATACAATTCCAAGAAACCGTTTATTTGTGTTCCTTATCTTGTCTCAACTCCCACAGTTGACAGGGTATTACCTGACGGAACGTAACACGACCTAATCACCATGGTTTGTCGGCCTTGCTAAATGTCCTCGAGAACTTGGAAAAGCTAATCTTTTGACGGTCCAGACGTCTATAGGCACAGGATATGATCTCTCGAACTCGATTTTCTCTCCTGATGGCAGGAATTTTCAAGTATGGTACCGTCCACTCCGAGAGCGCCTACGAGTACTGGACTGAGATGATATTTTACCGGACTGCAGGTAGAATACGCCGCTAAAGCGGTCGAGAATGGAGGAACAGCTATTGGTATCAGATGCAAGGATGGAGTAGTTCTTGCTGTCGAGAAACTTGTCACAAGCAAGCTTCTGAAACCGGGCGCAAATAAGAGAATAGCAACTGTTGATCGACACATTGGCATTGTAAGGAATATCTAAACGGCTCCCGGACCCTACCCACAGAGTCTCATTTTGTCTTTGTAAATTCTGCTAACATTTCTTATTTACCCGACGAAGGTCTCCGCTGGACTTGTTCCAGACGGGCGACATTTCGTTTCAAGAGCCAGGGATGAGGCCTCCTCATGGAGAAGGACATACAAGGGTCCAATCCCCACTTCTGCTCTCGCCAATCGTCTTGGTGGCTATGTTCAGGCTTATACTCTGTATTCGAGCGTGCGTCCTTTTGGTGTGACATCAATTGTTGGAGGCTGGGATCCGGAATCTGAGTTGTCCGTGGACGGTCAAGTCGGGACAGGTCCAAGTTCGGGTGCTGGAGGCAAAGTCGATGGGGTCAAAGCCGGTGGACCGGGTCTATACATGATTGAGCCAAGCGGTCTCTACTGGGTATGATTGCAAACTCTAGAGTGAAAAGCATGCTGACAATATTCCCAGGGCTATTATGGTGCTGCTACTGGAAAGGGGAGACAGGCGGCAAAAGCTGAACTTGAGAAGCTTGACTTGAGCTCTGGCAACTTGAGTCTGCTCGACGCTGTTAAAGAAGCAGCCAGAATAATCTATGTTGCGCATGAGGACAGTAAAGATAAGGACTTTGAGTTGGAGATGACATGGATCAGTTCGCTCGACGGTCCAACCAAAGGAAGGCACGAAGAGGTCCCGAAAGATCTTCTCGAAGAGGCTGAAAGAGCAGCGAAAAAAGCATTGGAGGGAGAAGACGAAGAGGAAGAGGAAAGTCAGAAGTCCGATGACGGCGAACGGATGGAAGAGTAATAAGATCGTGTACTGCACTGTCCGATGCCTAAATTGACCAGAGCTCTATTTCGGGGCAATTTCTTTTGTGGCTTTCAGGTACACATGTGACATGCAGGTCCATTGGAGTGGATGCTACTTGTTGTCCAGATGGGACGATAAGGTAGCTTCCGCTGGTCCCCAAGTGTATCGTTTTGGCAGCGCCTTACCAGACGCCTCACCTATTCCTACGTAGACTTTGAATAGATGGGGAAAAAAGGAGTTTCACAGGATTTTTCCTTCTGACCAACCCTTCCGCTTCACGGCCAGTTCCACTGCGGCATGTCCCCAGTCCTCGCCGTGGTTGTGCTTTCCACCCTCTCCCAATCCAGCCCTTTCCAAACCCTGAGTCTCGTTCAACAGAGTAAGAACTCCAAAAATGACAGGAACCCCAGCGTCGAGCTGGACACGCATCAAACCATGAGTGACAGCGTCAGCTATATACTCGAAGTGCATTGTCTCTCCCTTGATCAAGACACCGATCGCTATGATAGCATCAAAAGGAGCCTTGGATTTGGAAGACGCCGAGGTAGCGGATTTGGTTAAATCCGTGGTTGACGACGAAAGAAGGTCGGTTGCACTGATGTCCCCGGTCGAAGAACTTGCAGCAGCCTGAACATGGGAAGCGGCGTAGATCCTTAAAAAAAAAAGCGAAATGATTAATAAGAGTCGGACTGTTAAAGCTATCGACCTGAAGGACAGCTCCACACAATGTACTAACCGTTGTACCGCAAAGGGCAGCTCGTAACTCCCTGGAACGCTTTGGATGGTGATATTCTCTTCTGCTACTCCGGCCGAGAGGAGACTCTTCTTCGCCCCAGCAACAAGGGCATCAACGATAGTTGCGTTCCATCTCGCATGAACTATGGCAATTCGAAGACCAGAGCCTAAAAAGGTATAATCAGAACTGGCAGCGACGTGAACAGGGAATTATGCTCTTACCATCGTAAACCTGCGGGGCTCCAGGACCTTTCAGAGATGTCATCTTGCAGCTGTGAGCTTCGTTCCTAGTAATTCGTATTAATGAATGTTGGCGGCGTTCAATTTTGAATCATTTGCAAGACATATCAATTTAACAAGAGAAACGCAGACTTTGTATGTTGGGAAAAAGAATGGCAAACATCTCGACTAAAGAACAGCGGGGTAGCCGCATTCAGTAACATTGGCTTTGCTCCACACCCGAATTAAGGTGACACGCTACGCGGTTCCGGGCCGATTCTACGTGGTGATATATATATTACGACAAAGTCTAGCACATCATTTGTATTAATTTAATGTTGCGAACATCAAGCATCATTGGGTTTTGGAAAACGGAGAGTATTCGAATCTCAGAAAAGCCATACAACCCAGCCCGTGAAGGGGAAGAAAAAGAAAAACCACAAAAGAATCATTCACATAGACTCCATCCTGTATTTCCATCTTCAACATTCACCATTGACACGACCCCAAATCTACTCCACCGTCACCGACTTCGCGAGGTTACGGGGAAAGTCCACGTTCAAGCCTTCTTCAACAGCAAGCCAATAGGCAATCAGCTGCAATGGGATGACGTTTAGAAGACCTTGCAAACAATCGACCGTCTTCGGTACCTCGATTTTCTCCGTCTGCGAGGCCGGGAACTCTTCGTCATCTTTGTTGCAGATCACGATAGGACGACCACCACGGGCAATGACTAGTGAAGTTGTTAGATCTACGGGAACAAATACTGTATTCCTCTGAATGATGATTTCTCACCTTGCTGATAGGCATTCAAAGACTTTGTAAAGATATTGTCACGGGTAAGGATCATAATAATCGGAAGGTTTTCGTCGACCAGGGCCAGAACGCCATGTTTAAGCTCGCCCGACATGACCGCCTCGCAGTGGAGGTAGGAAATCTCTTTAATCTTGAGTGCGCCTGTGGGGGAAAAAAGAGACCTATGTTAATGGAGTGACAATTAACATTGAGAGTATGGTAAGGCAAACCTTCGAGTGCGGTTGAATATTGACTGCCTCTGCCCAGGAGAAGCAAGCTCTTCTGGTTCTTGAAGAATTTCTTGCACATTTCCTTAATTGGCTCACTGAGTTTCAAAATTTCTCTGAATTGGTCAGAAATCTTTGACAGTCCCTCCATGATTTCTTCTCTCCTCTTCTGTTTCGACACGCGATCCTCGCTCAGAGAGAGCGCAAACATCACCATAGCAACGAATTGAGATGTATATGCCTTGGTGGAAGCGACACCAATCTCCGGACCAGCATTGATATGCACACCGCAATGGGTGAGAAGAGAGATCGAAGAACCCACAACATTGACGATACCAACAGTCAGAGCGCCACGTTCCAGGCAATACCGGAGCGCCATGAGAGAATCTGCCGTCTCTCCAGACTGAGATACAAAGACGCAAGTGTCATCACGGAACACAGGTGCCTGCCGGTCCAAGAAATCGGAGGCCAATTCAACCGAGATGGGAATCTCGGTCAGCTCCTCAAAGATACCACGAACAGCCATACAAGAGTGGTAGCTGGTTCCACAGGCGATAAAGATGATCCTTCTGCAGCGACGAATGGTAGAGATGTACTGCCGAAGGCCACCAAGTGTAACTTTCTTGTTTTCGACATCCAGACGGCCTCTCATGGTGTTGACCACGGATTCAGGCTGCTCGAAGATCTCCTTTTGCATGAAGTGGTCAAATTTGCCCTTCATGATCTCCTGCAACTCCAGTTCGATTGTCTGGATGGCTCGAACATTGGAAGTGCCATCATCTTTGGTCAAGCGGTGAATATTAAGCTGACCATCATGAATGTGAGCAATGTCATCGTCTTCTAGGTAAAGGACCTTCTTCGTGTGTTCCACGATCGCAGATGGATCAGACGAAAGGAAAAATTCGGCCGGCTGAGGGACGCCATCATCGGAGAGGAAGGCCCGAGATTGAGAGCGATGCAACAACGATTTGTCTGGCGGCGCGAGGAGACTGGTGGCAGATTTCTTGATAGCCACATTCTGAGAAGCTTGCTCGGCGGGGAGAGCCCCTTCCTCTGAAAACTCGACGTCCACAAAGTCCACCTTCATTTTCTTCGCGGTGCGCACACCTATGACCAATGGAGAACCCTTGCGGGCAGCGATGACTTCATGTGGATAGTGCACCGACTTCATCAGAAGACCAAAGGCACCCTCGAGTTCTTTCACCACGGCTTTCGCCAAAACAGTGAAATCAATGTCCGGATGCTGATCATAGAGGTACTTGGCCAGTTTCGCAATACACTCCGTATCTGTCTCAGTCTCGAAACGGAATCCTTTACTCTCAAGGAGTGCTTTCAATTCCTTGTAGTTGGTGATAATACCGTTGTGAACCACGGAAAACTCCCATTTGGGATCAGACCTGCGACGTTTATTCAGAATGTGAACAACAACCAAGCAAATCAGTAAACGCTGGCGAACTTCTTACCTGTGAGGGTGGCAGTTCAGTCGAGAAGGGGGCCCATGAGTGGCCCAGCGGGTGTGGGCAATACCAGCATGAGAGTCGAAGGTCTTGGTCAAATCAATATTGGAATCGTCGATCAACTCCTTCAGTTTGGCAACCTTGCCAACCTCCTTGAAGGCGAAGACCTCATTCTTCTTGTCACCGTCAATGGCAAGCCCGGCCGAGTCATAACCACGATATTCGAGCCGCAAGAGACCTGCGATGCACCGCGGTGAGGGGAGTGACCATGGTAGACAGAGGAAGAAACCAACCATTCACGAGAGTGTCTAGGATGTATTTCCGATCCCTTTCGATGAGATAGTTGATGTAGCCAAAAATGCCACTGGGAGCAGTTAGCACCACTAGAGGAATCGACGCGAGCCGACGTGGCAGCGTACCACATTGTTGATCAGACTGGATGCAAATTCACTGTTGAGACGAGACTTGGAAGCCAGCAGCCGCAAAGAGACCTGGACAGAAAACAGGTAACTTGCGGGGAAATCGAAATCGGGATTTGGAAGGGACAAGCTAGTTGGGATTCAACAGACGCAGACGATGTCCCCGGGAAGAGAGAGAATTGAGCAGCACAACTTTTCGGAAGTCGCCGCGAGTCAAGAACCAAACAAGTAGGCCGGGCTGGAGATGGAAGAAGAAACGAGCGCTGATGAAGTGAGTGTAGAGGGAACGAGGGAGGACTGAGGGGAGAGCAGCGAGCTGTTATGTTTTATGTAGCGAGATTTGACCCACAAGGACAGGGAAGCTGCAAGTGGGCTGGGCGGTCTGGGCCAAATGGCGGTCTCGCGCGCCTCCAGGGATCTCCACGACGTGGGCTGGTGTGGGCTCTGCCACCTGCAGTAGTTGCTGCTAATCAGCGGCTGCCGTCCCCTACTTTAGGTACCGTTTACCTCAGTCACCGACCGCGTCGGCATGTCTCAGTCTACTTGGTACTAGTCAAGGCGTCTAGTTATTTTCCATGTTAATTCTGCCGCAAGTATGATTCCGTACGCACAGTTGGCAGGTTGGATGGAGAGCCGCCGAGGGGACGAGTGTCTCCACTCTTCTCACGCACTTCTGTTTGTGCCACGGAACCTTGGGAACTGTGAGATTCGAGAGCCAGAGATCGTTCCACATTTCCACCTATAAATAGCAGAAAAATTCAATAACCTACTTCATAGTCAAACATGGTCAACTAGTCTATCAGTCGACTGTGTATAATCCTGTTGTCCAAGTGGACCTCCCCCCCTTTGATTTGAGTTGCCATGCCGGTATACGAGGCCTCCAGTTTCCATGAGGTCCGGCATTAGACTCTAGATAACCTAGGTAGGTAGTAACTGTTGCTATGTTCGGTGCTGATTGAAAAAAAACTCCTCCGTTAACTCTTTGTGATTTCAGGTGCTGGGTACAGAGCCGAGGCCGAGGCCCCTAGTGGCATGGCCATGCCTCTCACTATCAGAAATTCAGAATACTATTTACTGCCCGCTACTCGGAACTCCTGAGGTGGGGATAACATTGTAGGAGGCGGTTGTCATGATGCCTGTTTGTGGCGGTGCTGTTGCTATTTTTGCACAGCTATGAGGGTCTGTTTTACCTAACTCGCGGATCACTACTGGGCATGACTGGAACAGTGGAAAGAGTTTGCCCCGTACTCCGTACCTAAGAAATGCTCCTTAACCTACTTAGGTTCTAGTACTAATACCAACGTGCCCGTGCATTCCACTAGACGTGGTGTGGACTAGTAGGCCCGTGGCAGCTTTTGCTCACCATGACTTGGGCCCCTAGGGGTCCGTATTGAGCTTCCTCTTTCCAGTAATTGAAATTTCACAGGTCAAGCGCCTTAAAATTGTAATTCTTGCCGAAATCAAATCTTTCTTTTTTTCTCAGTTGATTCGTCATCCTAGTTGCTGGAATTTTACTCGAGAAAAGAGAAATACAATGTAATATTTGTATGTACTTAGCTCGAGCTGTCCCAGTAACTTAACAGGGTTTCCTTGAGATTATGGATGAATTTTGGTTTCGAACCTCGCCTGCATATTTGCTGCCACTGTGAGGAGTCTGGGAATCTGCAATGGATGCGTCAATAACTTTCTAGCCACAGATGTCTAGTCATCATAGTTACCGTCGTCACTAGATATCAAACATATTCTCTTATCTTCCCTATACTTAAGAAAGCATCTGATAGACCATCAAGATGAACACTTGAGGTGATGAAAGCTGCCGAAGGTTGAGAATTTGTGTTTTAGTGCTCACCATCTTTTCTTGTGTGACTCTATGCTTCTGGTTCGAGATCCAGAAATCATCATTGCGACATTTGCCATATTTCAGTGATCTTGTCTGGGGATACATGTTTAACTAATATTCAGAGAGTCCTTCAACATGGCAATTTCATATATTAAAGCTCACCTTGCTAGTCCTCTCCATTGCAGTCTTTGTTAACTACGCAACAAAGACATTTGATTATCAGTACCCATAGCCTGTCTGAACAATTAATAGGACAATAGCATGTAACATACGCATGCTGCTTAATTAATTGGAGAAAAAAAAGTTTGTCATAGGAAATTATATAGTAGTATGTTATAGGTTCATGGCATAATTGATTTGTCCAGTCAATTTGCAATATTACTTTGTGATTAAGAAACAGAAGCATAGTACCAAGTCAATGACATGGATGTTCTATTATTAATAAAAAAACCCTTAAACTCGAAGGGCAATAGTTCTTGCTTTATTTGTTCAGGTAAGTGCATATATAGGAACTATCATAGCAGGTGTTACAATGACACCTAAAATAGGTTATATGCAGTACATAGATTGCCTGGGTTCATTGGTCTGACTTACCTAGTGATAAGGTCTTGTCATAACATATACTGCTCTAAAGACAGTTTGGTCAACATAGATTGCATAGGGAATATGTACCAAGCTGCACAAATGGACACTACAGATAACAACTATAGCACTCAAACTGCTCCAATGGTTTTAGCAAACCACCAGAGCTACCTGCAGGCAGTAGGCATAGTGGTAGTACTAATCAGAATGTAAATAAGTGTAGGGCAGTGTATTTTGTACTTGTACCAGAGTGTATATTATTTATAGATTTATATAGGATCATGATTATGGCTCAACTAAAAATATGATAGGGAAATGTATTTCTGACTAGATGAATAGCAGCCTCATAGGCTTGATGGTGTCAGAGTATGAAGAGGCTCAACTGGCAGGCTAGTGACATAACTACGTAATGAGAAGAACAAGAAGGTGGTATTTTGTTTTATATGCCAGAACTTCCAATATTTGATAGATTGCTATTGCCATTGTTGTCACCAGCAGTTGCAGGCTTCATAGCCAGATTGCAAACACCCTAAATGCCAACAAATAGAACAGCCTAAAATCACATTGGCATGAAGCAGCTATATAGTTAGTGGCAGCCACACATTCTTTCTATACCTGATTGCAATTAACAGGGTCATCCGCACATGCATCTCAGAATATTCACAACAAACGTATATCAACATATTGTACATGGAAAGATGTATTTCTTTGACCAGAATGAAAAGCACAATAACTAGAATTCAATAGTTTCTGTGAGGATAGAAACAAGTTAACATGGTTAAATTCATGTTTACTGAAATGATGACTTTCTAGACGTTACGATAGTATCAGTAAATATTTTTGTTTTTGTTTTTGTTTTTTATTTTTTTACTAAGTTGTAGCCGATTACCTAGCACGCTATGAACCTTGGGTCCTTGGCACGGATTATTAATAGTTAATATTGGTAGTTTTGCGCCAGAGTTGGAACCTGACATACCATATCCAAGTGTTCGAACACACACAGTATCCAGAACGGCTGGTCCTCTGACCTAAAGATCCCAACACTGCTACAATACCACACAGAGAGTATCATTAAGAGAGGGAAAATGTCGGGTATCACAAGGGATCCAGCTAACGGGGATCTAGCGCAGGTGAGATCCCGAAACGTGTTGCTATTGCTGCCTTGGTGTGTTGCGGTGCATCAAATAGAGCACCTTGCCTTTTATGAAAAGGAATTATTAATATAGTAAAGCAGGCGTTCCAAGATCTAGCTAAGTACGACCATAACCAGAACTACAACTACAGGTTTTTGACTTGATAGCAGTGGCGAGAAAACGGCACTGGCTCTGGAGAATCATCTCACCAGCCTGGAACTGAAGATTGACGAGCTCTTAGCTGCGATGCAACGAGAGGAAAACGAGAAGCCTGAGCTTTCTCGAACAGGCTGTGATGGGCAAAATGGTGAAACCACAAAACTTGTTGAACTGAGCAGTCAGGAGTTCGGCGAGCCGTCGAACACTGCGTCAAAGTGAAAATACCCATCAGAGCCTCTTTCCACCACGCCTACTTCTGTTATAATAGCGTCGATAAGCGCTGCTGGGGTGACATCAAAGGCGGGGTTCCACACATCAATTCCCGGAGCTGCGATGCGTATCGTCTCCATTCTCAAGGGACCTGTCACATCTTCTTCCAAGGGGCCCTTAATATTCGTTACTTCTGAAGCTGGTCGTTCTTCAATGACAATATCTTCTCCAGATTTTGTTTCCCGGTCGATCGTTGTGCGCGGCGCGGCAACTAGAAATTTCACACCATGGTGCTTTGCAAGGACTGCTAAGCCATATGTCCCAATCTTGTTTGCAGTGTCGCCATTGGCTGCCACTCGATCCGCTCCAACAACGATTGCAAATATCTCACTGTTTTTACTTGCAAGAAGCGCCGCTGCCATCGAATCCGTGATAAGCGTCGATGGGATATTATCATGTACTAATTCAAATGCTGTAAGTCGAGCGCCTTGGTTGTATGGTCTTGTTTCCGTGCAGTATGCACGACCCAGGTAATGGCTGGAATGGAGAGAACGAATGACGCCCAACGCAGTTCCATAGCCAGAAGTAGCGAGCGAGCTGGTATTATAATTGATTAGACCAAAAAGAAGTTCAGTCCGAACTTGTATCGACTACTTACCCAGTATTGCAGTGGGTTAGGACATTGACTGTTTTCCTCCCTTGTAGAAGCGCTTTTTCAACAATCCACTTAGCCCCATAAGCTCCAATATTTCGATTGTCGTTTAGGTCATTCGTTAACATTTGTTCTGCTTCCTTGAGAAAAGCAATCGCCAGGCTGTGACCTGTAGAGTCCTTCTCCTTTGCATGCACCGCTATCAGACGCTCGAATTTGCGAGCGGCATCCCCCAAATTCACAGCAGTTGGTCTGCTTGTCACAAGATATCGTAGCTTTTCCGTAATAAAAGTGCGGACCTCGTCAGCGACTGGCGACAGCTTACCCTCTGTGAGGAGAGTACGCAGCTCAACAGCAAGAGAGAGTATAGCTACAATTGCGATTGCTGGTGCGCCACGGACACGCATTTCCCTGATTGCTTGCCAACCTTCTTGCACAGTCCTGATTGGCACATACTTCACCAAATGTGGAAGCTGCAGTTGATCTAGAACCGAGAGACTGGTGCCATCGTACTTGATCGCTTGAAGGGCCATTTGCTTTTTTTTTGACGCAGAAATGCCGTATTTTTTTGATAAGCACGTTTAAATGAAAAGACTTCAATAGCTCTAGAGTTCAGGAAAACTGCGGAACCCTATGCTAATGCTGGTTGGGCTCTGATACAACCTGAATGGCAGAGTTGGAAATGTCTTCTCATCTTTACTGCCAGCGTCAAATCTTTCCAGGTGGGGAACGTGGGGTACATTATTTCAACTACCAGGTACTCCGTACCTTAGGTAAGGAGGTAGGTAAGGTAAATTAAGCCAAACACAGATTAGTGAAGATGCGGCAAATTGGCCAAGGCGCTACCCTTAGGTACCTAAGGTACCTACAGGTAGGTACCTGTACGGAGTAGTTTAAGCGGTATGTCGCTCCTCCATCTCCTGCGACGCTTACTACAAGTTAGCTATATCGCCCAATTCGAAACAATGACAGGAAAGGAGAGTTGAAAAAAAAATGAAAGGAGTATTGCTCAATTTATCTGTGCCCCTGAAATCACCTTAGTTCATAGAGGGTGCAAACCAAGATTAAGCACTTTTCCGGGGAACAATCAGTACAAGAGCAAACATAATACAGATGAAATGATGATAGAGCTGCCTTGTAAAATCCGTCCCTTTATGACTGGTTTCTGCGAGCGTTCCCTCAAAAGGCGATTACCAAGGAAGTGAAATCTCGGCTAGGGACGATAGTGATATTTCTTTTCCCGGATGTTTTGCACGCATATTTCGATGCACAAGAAAGCATCGTGTTTCAGATGGAGGGTGTAGTGTTTCGTGGTATGAATAATAATAGGATATACATTGCGCTTATTTGTTCAATGAGAAAGCCACATTGGCATAAAACCACACAGGCTGGCTTTTCAATCCATTCATACCCTAGGAAGAATAGTTGTACCACATCCCATTGCGTCTTGCTATAGCAAGATTTTTTTTAACAATATAGGCGTGTCAAGGAATTCACCTGCATAAGCTGAATTTGATGAGATCCTACACTCTAGAACACACGAGGGAGCAGGTAATAATGCTAGCTCGCTGAGATGTACAGAACTAATTAACAGTCAGTCATTATTGGACATGTGGGCGGTAGGAAGGGGCGATTTCACTTACCATTATTTCCACGTACAAAAGCGTCCCCATAGTTCCGCCTCAATCGTCCGTTGACATATTCTTCAGTCTTCTCCAAAGCAATATTCATATAACCATCAACTGATTGCAGTTCACCTAAGGCAAAGTCTGAGCGTTGGCCTGCAAATTTGGTACTCGAATACTACCAACCTTTGTAGACGACACCAGAATTGAGTTTCACAGTCACAGGCGCGCCGATAATTTCACTCAGGAAGGCAGAGGGATCTTTGCCCTCAGATGACGCACCGTTCTCCATCAGAGGTTTGACAAGATTATAGCGTCGGTTCGATATGCTTATCGGGAACAGGAATGGCTTTTCCACGACAGCTCACCCTGTCAAGCAAGTATGTCAGGTGAAAGGTACAGAAATAACTTGTCTAGCTGCTCCATACCTTAGTGTAGTCTGTCAATAGGTTAAAGTTTAGCTTCTATCTCTTGAAAGCGTTTGGTTATTGCAGTGGCATTGGGATGGTCCGTGCGTGGTCCTTGCGCTTGCACATACAAACCTGAGGTCCTACTCCGTATTAGGTACGTACGGAGTATGTACTCGTCCTCTCTTGGCTACCGCAACCTGCCAGTAGACCCATCGCTAATCAGGTAACGTGTGATTTGAACCTGGCTTACTAATATTCTTAGAGTACCGTACCTATTTCTCTTACTAGGTAGGAGGATGGAGCATGTAAGGGGTATGTTTTGTTAAGTTGTACCGTGCAGAGCACCACACCAAGGACAGCATCCGCTAAACATCTTGGATCTCAACACAGACTAGCCGAGTCCTACATCATCTCTTTGACTAAACACAAAAGACAAATTTGCATCTGCTATTGAGCAACCTATCTGCAGGGGTAATTTAGGACGTTGAAGACGCTTCTCTGCGTATGCCTGCTGATGACGTCCGGGATGTTGAAGATAAATAAGCATTGCTGACTTGTTCATCAGACATGAAGATCTATTACACAAGAAATCATGCGATCTTTTTTCAATAGGCCAGCCTGGGCGAGTACGACCGACGACTCTGCTTTCCCTGAGTTTTACCGCCGCTCCCAACAGACCTATAGTGATATCGTGGCAGAGAATCGACAACAACGAAAATCAGTGACGGGTTCTCATCCAGAGAGGCACCATGTGAAAGATGAGAAGGCACTGAAACGTCGTCGCATCTCATCCTCGAGTGTTAATAAAGGGTCAGATTCTGTTCACCTCACTGTTGGTACGGAATCACACTGTTCGACTCTCAGGAACTTTGAGGGAGCGATCCATACTGGAACTGATATTCAGAGATCTGTGGATCTTGAAAATGGTCAAAAAGGTCGTCCCGATGATGTCGCGGAGAGTGCAGTCGATGCGACATCCACGGCTGCGTTTCCAGTGACTGTCGATATTGAGTGCTCAACTCATGAAGGTGTTTCATTCTCACGCACACCTTGCAAAAGAACAATCAACAAAAGTTCAGTGACATCTGAGGAAAGTCCTGTTCCTCCGGAGGCACGCCTACGTTTCGAAGAAAAAGTAGAAGGAAATTTGACCTATCGGTCTGAGATGACCCGTTCTGGGAATATTCAGGAATGCCAGGATTCTTGTCAACTTGAGGATACCCGACACGACACTTATCGAAGCAATTATTGTCCTCAGGAAGACCAAGTTGTTCAGATATTGATTACATCTGACATTGAAAATACCAAGCCATTGATTGTCCAACGACGAATGTCTCAGCGATTAAGAGACGTCCGCCTGGCGTGGTGTAGGCGTCAAGGCTTTGGGGATGAGATGACATCATCTGTGTTTCTCACTTGGAACGGGAAAAGGCTTTTCGATGTCACAACTTGCAAGAGTCTCGGTATTGACAACCTAGCGAACACCAGTAACCTCTGGCCATCAGACAATGACCATTGCGATGAGATCAATGGAATTCGTATACACATGGAGGCTACAACAGACGAGCTTCTGAAATCTCGAAAAAGGAATCTTCTTCATGACTCAGTTCAATATGCTTGTGGTTTTGTCGAGCGTGAAGAGGACAACGCTAAGGATGGGTTCGTCAGGATTATTTTAAAGAGTCCAGGTTTGGAAGATTTAAGGATCAAGGTTAGGCCCCAGACAAAATTTTCAAATGTAATTGCCACTTTTCGAGATAAAAAAAGGATTTCATCAGACAGAAAGGTGCAGTTGTTATTCGATGGGGAGCTTTTGGACCCTGATGCAAGTGTTAAGGATCACGAAATTACAGATCTCGACCTTGTAGATGTGCTAGTTAAATAGAAGGACTTACTTGGTTTGCATATTTATCCGAAGATGTATATATATATATAAGCCTTTCTATTTCTCTCCACGGCACACGGTATACTCTTAGAAATCGATAGTTTACGTATAGATCTGTTGATGGCTGATGGACTTTCAGCCTAAGGCACCAAGTGGGCTTGGCATTATTGGCTCCGTTGACACCTTGCCGTAGAAAAAAAGCCTTTTTCATTTGGTATCGCTAACACTGCAGCATAGGTGGTAGGAGGACGTTATCAAACTAACCTGACATTCGTGATGGGATTGTGCTAAAGTTTATCACTTACTTGTGGAAGGCTCTGTGTACCTTGCGCATGCTGGAATACCATCATGAAAGTAATTACTGTTAATTTTGTGACATGTGCTGTCAAGAGCTGCAAGACATCACAATCCTCATTTCCACTTCATTTTCGTGATGCAGAACTGGAACAACAAGAATTAGACTTTCATCCAGAATTTATTCGAAATATTCTTCCCCGCCTGGATTGGGACAGTTTGCGTATGACAGCAAACGAGGTAATGACCTTGTTATTATCATTATTAACATTCCATACTGGACAGTGACTAAGAGTGTTTTTAACATATAGCTTGGATTTCCCAGCATCCCGGATTTCAAACCCGAAGGCGATGCCCTGAGCGAAGAGATACTGAAGGATCTTCATCGATTACTTCTGGAGACTCAAGTTGTGGAAGGGAAGCTGGTATGTGGAAACTGCGGTCATGAATATCGCATCAAGGAGGGGATTGCAAATTTCCTGCTCCCGAGTCATCTAGGTTCGAAACATTGATAATCTCTCATTTCATTAGAACGGGAGCTGACTGTAGTAGTATAATTTCCCGGCTAGCCTCTGGGCAACGCGAGAGGAGCGATACCCAAATTATCTTGCATCAACTATGGGAAATCTGCAGAGAAAGAAACAAGCAAAGGAAGAAGAAAATAAAATTAGCAAAAATAAAACTGAAATCGATTACATGGGTGGCGTTGCTATCACACAGAAAACAGCGCCTCAAATGGAATATTTGAGTAATATACCTCAGCTCACAATGAAAAAAAAAGAATTCCTCACTTTTTAAGAAAGTAATATACATGTCACCTGTAATCCATCCATCCGTAAACTCCTGCCCGTACATGTGGAAAAGGTGCGAAAAATGGCGCTAGTAAGTCACTTGTTACCAAAAGAAATGTGTGGATAAACTCCGATCCTAGTCAAACGCCCCTCATTAATGCACTTGATCCCATCATCTCAGTGCCAGTGACAGGTTATTCGAATGAAAACAAGGTCATATAGATAATGCACACAGTGTGGGATACTAATTAAGAAAACCTTTACAACCAGCGGAACCACAAAGGCAAGGAATTCTGTCGTCACTGTCCCACTCTCTTTCGAATTTGTAGTCGTACGTTAGTTCTTCATCTGCATGCTTGTTAGCCAGCTTGTCAAAAACGAAGTTGTTTGCGAGCTAGAAGTAACTCACCTCGTTCGATATCTCTCAGAGCATATATAACAATTCGCTTGCTGCCATCCACCTTGATAATCTTGGCGGTGCAATTTGGAGTGCAGCTGTGGTTGATGAATCTCGCAATGCCACCGCGCTTTGTCGCATCAATAACTGTGTTCTCGTCAATTCTAAAGAGATAACTGCTTCCAATTCCGCTCTTCAGATATCTCCTTTCCCTCATGTCTGCAACCTGCTGCCTCACTTTTTCGCCCACGTATTCAATGATCATATCATTTGCAGAAATATTCTCCTCTGCGTATAATCCCCAGTTGTGTATTGCAGATCGAGCGAATCTGACTGGTTTCTTCCGTTTCTTGAGTTGATTAAAGCGCAAAACATCGCTGTCCCCACTCTGTGTGGGAAGCGCCTGTTTCTGTGCATTAATATCAGCGATAAGGCGACGATTATTGACTCTCGTAGATCGAGACGTCGACTTGGAAATCGTCTTGGCATTAGCAATCCTTGCAGCTTCAGCAGCCACCGCTTGAGGATCATTTTTGGCTTTCGCCTCTCTTTCTTCACGAGCTTTCTGGACCTTGATCCGGTGAGGAAGATATTTAGATTTCTCGGACTCAAGGATTTTCTTCCTCCCTTCTGTACGGGCTGAACCCGTTGGATTCGGAACATAATAGCCGTGAATCCTTGTCTCAGCGCGAACTGGACCCTTCTCCCCAGGTCGATTAAGTGCTTTGATCTCTCTTTGCTTCCAGGCCCATGCTGTCAAGTTTCCAACTCTCGACATTGGTTGTTCTGCCAATACATCTCTAAGGAAATGCAAATCCTCATCGTCTTTAATCAGATTCTGCCATCCATCCAGATCCAAGATCACGCTCTCATCATCATCCACCGTCGAACGAGGTTCATCATGTGAGACTTCCCAGTTGACCTCTGGTTTAATCTCATCTCGTCTCAACACGTCGGTCTCTTGGAAAGTTTCGTCTTGGGCATAGATCACCTCGTTGTCGTGTATAGATGTATCAACCTCCAGTTCTTTAACATCCATGACTTGTCCATCCTCAAACACTTGCTTGCTGGATTCCTTCCCTGACTTAGATTTCTTTAGTCGTGTTCCTATATCAGTTTCTGCGTCAAGAATCTCTACATCATCGAGATTCGAATTAGGAAGCGTTCCGGGCCCTTCGCTCCTTCGTTCGATGCCGAACAGTTCGTCGTCTTCTTTCTGTCGTTTGCGTGCTTCAATTTCCCTGCTAAGTCTCTTCCTCTTACGGGAAGAAAGCGACGCATCCTGCTTGAGATTTTCAATGACTGATGCATCCTGGGAGACACCACTGTCCCCAAAATCTATGCCACCAGAAACAACATCTTCGGCGGTGCTGTTGGCAACTGAAGATGTATGAATTGGGCCTTGTCCGTACTCATCATCGTTCTCCGACTCTGACGAAACAAGGCTCATTCGACTAGGAGGTCTACTTTCTTGTTCGTCCGTAAACCTCGTGAAAGGGGTCCGTATATCCTCATCCGAATCCCCATCCTCGTGTAGCTGCTGTAGGCGATGATATAGTGGCCGAACCTCCCGCCTGCGCAGAGGACGCTTACGCCTTTCATCCAGAAAAGCGATATTGGCGCGACCGACACCGTGAGCCTTCCGAATTCGTGGAAGCGCGAGGATGTTCAAATGAGAAGAACCAAAGGGCTGGCGACCGTCCCCTGGCAGCTCACTTGGAGAGTCCCGCGTTCCAGTAAGAGACTCGTCTGTTGAATCAATTTGAAACGGATGGCGTCTGCTTCCCTCGGGATCACGAATTCCCAGATTTCGCCTTTTGGTGGCATGCCGATCTGGATCTAAATAATCATATAGAGCCGGCGCAGCGATACGCGACTTGACATCTTCCAACAGCTTGTCCTTGAGCTCGCGTACAACGATACTCAATACTTCCTTTGAAGGGTCTAAATCGTTTGCCCGTTGTTTCTTTTCCTCTTCAATATCTAGCTCTTCCTCCTTTCTTAGTCTCTCTTTCTCCGCCTTTTCTCGTTGCTCTGCCCTAACTCGTTCGGGGCTTGGGCTGCGTACGTAGTTGGGATTCCCATAAGGATAACTCTCCATATTCATGATGTACGTGAATAATGGAGTCATGTGGCACATCTTATAGCACCGTTGCGCTTCCTCCTCGCCACGCTTAGAGTTCTCGAATATGATGTAGTATCCTGTTTTGTCGCAGCGAACAGCCTTCCAATCGAACTGTTTGAGTCGTCTCTGCAGGTGAGGTACAGTTGTGCTGAGAACCGGGACGTAACAATGCGCAATGAATATGTATGGCTCCCGCTTGATTTGGTCCAAAATAGGAGTCTCCTCGACGAGAGACGGTACAGCGGGTCTCAGTGCAGCCCTTGGTCCCTCTGGGGGGTTGAATGCTGAACGGACGGATGACCGCCCAGAGGGACCCTTTGGTGCTGTTGGCGGAGGTTCATTCTTCTTCAATTGAAGCTCGCGCTTATCGGCATCAACAGACGAAATATCATTGTTTGCAGTTTTCCGCCAAGACTCAATCGCTCGGTCAACCATACGTTGGGATACAAGACCATCGCGATCTAATTCGACCCGAATCCGGCGAGTGCCAATGCGCTGCTCCTTCTTGCATTCGTAGTACGCGCGCCTCGCGGCACTTGTTGCTGACACTGGACCGCCATTTCTGAAGGCCGGGGCATCTTGGAACTTTATAGAACAGATTCCAAGCAATCTTCCAGTGATAGGATCAGTTCTGTTGTTTATTTCTGCGATTTCTCCAAAACTCGAGAAAAATGCGCTGATTGGAGCGATTGGAGTTAATGGATCGAAACCAGTGACCACAATCTGCGTCGGCGGGCCGGGCCCAACGGATGTCGCGGCATCATACGGCCAATGTCGCAATGTATAGGGAGACGGTCGATATTTTGTTTTCTGTTTGCTAGCAGCTCCTCGAGTGTAGTTGACAATTGTACGCCGCGGATCAAGGGGCGGTGGCTCATCATCAGTGACGATAATATCAACATATTGAGCCTTCCTTTTTCTCTCTTTCGTTGGGGGTTTCTTGTCAAGATCGGGGTCATAAATCAATTTACAACCCTTAACATTATTTCCAGAGGGACGCGTCTGTGACTGAGGAGTGGGCGGGGTATGCTGGGGTGTAATAGCCACTCTGCTATCTCTTTTGCTGTCTTTTCGGTCTGCTTCTTCTAGTTCTCCTTCAGAATAGTGCAATCTTGACCGCAGCGGACTCGTGACCTTGCAAGGAGGAGATGGCTCGGTATTCGTTAGAGGCGTAAGTGCATATGAAAGCATCCCATTTCCATTCAGGTTCCCGGCCTGAAGGTTAGAACTGCAAGCAGAGGAGCGTGTACTTGCTGTACTCGCGGATCCAACACCATTGGCATCGCTAAACGATATGGAGGGATCGTCTTGCGGCACTGTTGTACTTCCGTCTTCTGTATTTTCTCCATTTGTTGATCCCCGAGTCACCCCGCAATTTTCAGTATTGGAAGGGCCAGTGGACAGTTCAAGGGTCGATTCAGCTTCAGTTTTGGACTTAATTCTCTGTCGCTCTTGTGTAGCTTTGGACCGTCTTTGCTGGAGAACAGATGGAGCTGTTGGGAAGAAATCTGCAAAGCCCGCTGAAGATCGCGACATGATTGAAGACGGCTACAAGCCTGAAATTATTCGGAGCTGGCCAGCGAGCACCATCCTTAACAGTCGCTTGCCGATAAACCAGTACCGTCCAATAGCTGGAGATTTATAAAGCTTGAAACGCGAATTAACACGAGAATTAAAGAAAAATGTGTTCGTTGTTTGGCGGGTGGAGATCAAGTACGACAGGGTATAAAGGAGGAAGCGCGAGTTCAGACAGCGGCTGAAAATCGGAAGGTGGAACACGAAATATAATACGCCAATATAGATTGCAAGGAGTGAGCAACAACAAGACAAGGCAGATGTAAAAAAAGAGAACAAAAACACTTGCTGATAAATCTAGACTACTAATAGATAGGCAAGTAACAATTACCTAAGTATAGACTACCTGAGTGGTGGCAGTACCTATGTATGTACATACATACGTACATACATACACTATGTCCTGTACTGTACCAGCTGTAACTGTACTGGTATGCTGAGCAGCCAACCAGTCTGGTTGGCTAGTGTGCTACCTAAGGTACAGGATGCAAGATCCGCACACTAGGGAGTTTTACTTGTAGCCCCACTAGTTGCAACCTGAAACTTACCTAGGTATTTGATTTTCTTGTAAAATCAAAAAGGGTTTAGTGCACTCTTGTATCAAATACATCAAGTTTACTATGATAGACCTGATAACTACGGAGTACTGCATTATGAGCTTATAATAATGGTTACTTATAAGACATCTTAATAAGGAGAAAGAGGAGTGTCAGGACGGAAAGCACAGCACCTGCAGGTTAGCAGTTGGATTAAATGCAGATGCTAAAGGTCTCATATCTATTAGGCACTAGTTAGGCTGTAATTGTAATATATCATTACTAATCCTTTTAGGGGCTAATTTTTAAAAGTTAGTAATTAGCTACCTATCTTATTTGTAGTATATATTAAGGCTTTATACTTTATTTATACTATATTTGTGACAGTCCACAGCTAGATGTCTTGGATATGTGTTTCTAGGAAGGTTTTATATAGGTAATATAGAAGGCAGTAAGGGGAGTAGGGAATTTGTGACTGGCTGTAACAGCTTCCATATGCAAGCCTCCTATTGAGGGTTGTATACAAGATGTTACAATTAGGGGAGGAAAGGAAGGAGCCTTTAGCTATAGGTTTAGGGAGGTTAATATAATTATATAACGTAATCTATAACCTAGTCGGACAAATGGCCTAGTCGGACACTTCCCCACCATCATACAGCTTCACAGTCAAATTTCACCACAACTATATAGAGAAATCATCTAATTACATTAAGAACTATTTCTTGTACGCTGGGAGCATGTACGGGCAGTATGCCCAACTGTTCCACATATACTGCACTGACGTGCAGCACGTTTTTGTGGTCTTTCCTCAGTAACCTCAACCACCCTACTCTCCTCTTCATTAGCTCTTCGTACACGATCTATCCCTTCTTCAATAGTTAAAGCATCTTCCTGTCCTATATATGTACGGCGCCTCTCTTGCTTTCTCTTTTGCTTCTCATTTGCAGCCTTCAGTGCCCTGTTTTCTGCTGCCAGAATGGCAGCACTGTGCATGGCCATACAACATCCCTTGATCAACTGATTCAGAGCTCGATTGGTCGGACTGGATGGACCCTGCATGCACTGCTGCATATATCCCTTGACCTTCTCAGCCTGGAGCTCCACTTGGCGTATATTATGTGGTGTGGCCGTGACCCAAGAGGATTGGGAACTATGAGAGGTTCCTGGGGGGGTTGGTGTACACATCTGGGTGTTGAGACGTGAAAGAACCTGCTCTGGATCATATGGAACTAATCCAGTAGCTCTGAACCCACTCTGGATGTTTCTTTCACTCAGGGCTGCTGTACGAATTGAAGAATATATGGTTAAGAACTCATCCTTGTCAATGTGGTTGATGCCAAGCACCATACTCTTCTGAACATGTTGTCCATATGCTTGCTTCAAGGGGGAGAAACAGCTGACATCCAGTGGCTGCAAGAGATGGGAGGAGTGTGGTGGCATGTAGAGAGGGATGATAGAGTTCTCTGTGCAGAACTGTCAAATTCAGGGCCACTATGGCTGCCATGTCCATCAAGAATCAAGAGTCGATATCGGCCGATTGTACGAGACTGGGTGTGCTTGTTGAAGACTTCTTTGAGCCAGAATAACCCTAGTTCCTTGTTGGTCCACCCATTCTCACTGGTCCCAATTGCCCCCCCATATGGCAATCCCTCAGTTTGATACCAGGAAGGCTGATGGTTCTTGCCCTTGAGGATGAACATTGGTGGCAAGAACCAACCACTAGCATTGACTCCCTCAATCACAGTGACCCATTCTCGGTTCCCAGGCTGTATCAGATTTGGACGGAGGTTCTTTTCAGAGCCAGTAACCACCCTGGTTGTTGCAATAATCCCCATCAGAAAGCCCACCTCATCAAAGTTGTATGTATCCTCAGGTAGGATGCCATATTTCTCTATTGTGTCCCGTACGAGCTTAAACCATTCTCGAATAATCTTGGGATCTTCACATAGGGCTCGCCTGTAGTCGTACTTGCGTGAAAATTTGGATTCAAGCTCATTGCGTCTCATGAAACCATTTACCCAGCATTTGCCAACTGTAGGTGGAGTAGTGGATTCATCGCGTTTGGCAAGAAGGACATTTGCCATTTCTCGTACGGTTGCAACTCGGGGGGGCTTTCCTCGCTCATCCATGGATAGTATCCACTGGGTAAGAGTTATTTCTTCAGTAACAGACAGTTTTCGATTCCTTTCCTGCGCATGCTCTCG